CTTGAAGTCCACCTCTTTAATAAGGCTGAAAGAGTAGCCTTAAACGGAGCCTTGCTTTTCTATTACTCCAAATAAATTGGTTATACAGCTTGTTCAAAGTGTCATAAAATGAATCAGACAGTGGAAAAATTAGGGCAAAATTGTAATTTTAAATGTATTCGTCCTATCATGGATATAGGCAAATTTGATCATCGATTTAGCATTTCTGTGACTTTTTCCACTAGGGGATTATAATTTACTGTACTTATTTCATTGAGGGATGGCGTGATCTTAATGCCTAAGTATGTAAAACCTTTTGTAGTTCTTTTAAATGGGGTAACCACACCAGGACTATTCCTTTCTTCTCATTAAGAAACATTAACTCTGATTTAGAATTATTAATTTGTATATCCTGAAAAATCACCAAATTCTTTTATTAGATGTAATAAATTGGGAATACTGATCTTTAAATTACTGATGAAAAATATGATGTCATCTGCAAACAGGGAAATGACATGATCCCTTCCTCCAATTCCAATCCCTGATATTCCTGTATTCGCTCTAACAGCCATCACCAGATGTTCTATTGTCAGTACAAAAAGCAATGGTGACAGAGGGCAACCCAGTCTAGTTGATCATTGTAAATTAAAAGGTTTTGACATATTATTATTGGTTAAAACTTGTGCTATGGGATCAGTATATAGTAGTCATATCCATCTTAGAAAGCTTTCACCCAGTCCATATTTGGGGAGCACTTTAAACAGATAATTCCACTCTATTCTGTCAAAAGCTTGACGTGCGTCCAGTGATAACATCGCTGTGTCCTTACAATTATGTTTTTCATGTAATACATTAAGAACCCGTCTTATATTATGGTAGCCTTGTCTTGTTTTAATAAATCCTTGTTGATCATCTATTATTAAATTGGGTAGGTATTTATCTAATCTCTTAGAGAGTGCTTTACAAAAAAAATTTTGTATCACTTCCCATAAGACTGATTCCTCTGTAAGAGGAGCATTCAGTCTGTGGTTTGTTTGGTTTTAGCAAAAGGGTTATTCTAGCTAACCTCAGTGACTCTGGGAGCACTCCAGCTTTATATGATTCATCATACATGTTGAGAAGTGTTAGGATTAATTTATTTTTAAATGTTTTATAAAATTCTATTGGAAGTCCATCAGGACCTAGCGTTTTACCACTATTCATGCTGTCTATTGCTTCAGATAGATCTTTTATTGTTAAAGGATTATTAAGAGTTGTTTTCTCCTCCTCTAAAATGGTTTTGAATTACAATTGATTAAGAAATGCGACTTGTGTTTCTTCATTTCCACAATTTTCAGATTTATACAAGTGTTTATATTTTTTTTTATTTTCAGATTTATACAAAAAAAAATATTTCTGAAGGGTCTGTTGTTAAAACGCCTGATTTGGATTTTATGCTGTTAATTGCTCTTTCTACTTGTATCTGTTTTATCCTCCATGCCAATAATTTACCTGCCTTTTCTCCTTGATCATAAAATGCTTGTTTCGTCCACATTAAGCTTTTTGCCACTCTCTCTGTTGTTAATTTATCATATCTGGTTCTTAAAACATTCAGTTTGTGTAATTTTGTATTACATTACTCTGATACATTTCTGTTTCGCTGGATTTCATTTGTTCCAATAATGACTTTAATTATTGGTTATATTGTTTATTTTTATTGCTGCTATAGCTGACAATTTCTCCTCTGATATATGCTTTAAAAGTTTCCATCTAATACTAGCTGTTGTTTCATCGTTATTGAATTCAAAATATTTGTCAATGCAAGTTTCTATAAATTACCAAATTTTAAATCTTTTATCAAAACTGTCTGCATCCTCCATCGTTTCATCCCTTGATCAATCTTATCAACCTATCATACCAGCAGTTCTGCACGTGAGGCAATAACTCCACAGAGATAAGAAAATAATCAATACGCGAATGGGATTGATGTGTGCTTGAATAGTATGAAAATTCCCTGCTGCTCGGGTTCCTTGTTCTCCATATTTAATTTATTCTTAAATCTCTTATATAATTAAGGAGTATTTTCCTGCTTTATGAATGACTGGTATCACTTTGAGTAGATTTGTCCAGATTTGGGTTCAGGTTGCAGTTAAAGTCCCCTCCTATAATATAAAGTCCCTCCAGGGTTGACAAGGTTAAGAATACATTTTCATAAAAGGATGGATTATCATTGTTAGGTCCATAAATATTTAACAAATTCAGTTTTAATGTTGAAATATGTCCCTGCACAATGATATATATCCCATAGGAGTCTTTTTATTGACCACATTGTTTGAAATGGTATTGACTTATGTACAAGAATGATAACTCCTCTGGCATTACTGGTAAAGGATGAGTGATATACCTGACCCTGCCATCTTTTAGTTATAAAATGTATTTCTGTCTCAATCAAATGAGATTCTTGATTCTTGTAGAAAAATTATTTTAGATTTCAAATATTTTAGTCGGTCAAATACTTTTTTCAATTTAGTTAGCTTTCGTAGTCCTCTGACATTCCAGCTAATGATTTTGGTATTCCAGACATTTCCCTTCATTGTCTTCTTAGATTATTTAATTTACTATTGGACTAAAAATAAATTAAGTAAAGATAGAGCTGAAAAAGCAGATTTGCACATACATTCACACAATCATCCATACAAGACACAGAGCTAGTCATAAACAATCCCCAGATAAACTTTAAAGGAATAGTACACCCAAAACATGATTAGCCTTCATTTTCTACTCACCCCCATGCTGAACAAAACTCTGGAGTACTTTTTTGATATCTCAAAGGCATCTGGAGATCTGGGAGGCTTCTTGCTGTCTGCTGACATTCAAATAATGGAGGTCTATGGCGCCCGAGACAGAAAGG